TTATACTCAACCACTTGTCAAGGAAATAGTTAAATATGACTTAAAATACCATTTCTATGCTGATGATACCCAAATTTATGGTTCAACATTGTTTACCAACTTAGATGAACTTGTCCATCGTGCTGAAAATTGTATTGCCTCAGTGAAAAACTGGATGAACAAAAATAAATTGATGTTAAATGATAATAAAACAGAAGTCATTCTGGCAGGCAATGCAAAGTCTGTTAAAGAGGTTGACCATGATCACATTAAAATTGGTGATGCAAAAATTTTATTTTCAAGAAAAGTTAAGAATCTTGGCATCTATTTTGATTCTAGTTTGTCAATGTCGGCTGTGGTAAATCATCTGATCAGCTGCATGTATTTAGAAATAAGAAAAATTAGTAAAATACGTCATCTGATCAATATCAAGTACACTGCTTTACTAGTAACTAGCTTAATTTTATCAAAACTCGATTATTGTAACTCCTTGTTATCAGGAATATCACTGGAGAAAGTTAAAAGACTTCAAACTGTCCAAAACAATGCAGCACGTTTAGTTTTACCGAAAAGAAAGCAAGACTCTGCTAAACCTCTTTTACGAACTTTGCATTGGCTTCCTGTTGAGAAAAAGATTGTGTACAAGTTGGCCACCATGTGTCACAAATGTTTGAATGATAATGCACCATCATATTTATCAAATCTGTTGAGACTGTACATTCCAACTCGCAATTTAAGGTCATCAGCTGACAAAAAGAAATTTATTTTACCATCTATGAAACTTAAAACAATGGGTGAAAGGGCATTTAAATACCAAGGCCCCAAGATCTGGAATGCTTTACCAAGTACGTTGAGAGAAAACAAATCTTTTGATTCATTCAAATGTCAGCTGAAGTCGTTTCTGTTTTTAAATTAATAAGACGAATATTTGAAATAATTTTCTTTAGTCAGAACACAACGTTTCATGTTACCGTTGTATGCTGTACTGTATTGTAAAGCGCTCAGAGCCTGTGTACTTTATTCGGGGTTGAGCGCTATATAAATGTAATTTATTATTATTATTATTCACCATACCCATGACCACGTGAAAGAGGTTTAATTTAAAGCTTCACAAACTGAAGCACATCAGGCATCCAGGCTTCACTTGAGATGTTGTCACATGCTGGAGCCAGTTAGCCTAGAGGAAATTTTGCACTTCGTGTGTAACCTTCCAGAGAGACATTGTTGGCCTGCACTACTTCTAGATCTACTACTTGTTGGGTAAGGGGTTTTTTGTTGTTGGAAACCACTGAAAAACTGTGCAGAAATTGATTGGTGGCGATTTTGTGGGACTTTCCATCGACATTCCATCTTGATATTGTTATCCTAAGCTCATGCAGTTGGCAAATAATAGGACAGGCGAAGAAAAAAATAGCAAAGCTGTCATCCACATCATGCAAACAGTAACTTTTTCAGAGATAAGAGACATCTTTTTTTATCAACAGCTGATTGGTTTCAGCTACGTGCACACCATCTGAAGATCGACATATATTGTGTGTGTGTGTGTGTGTTTGTGTGTGTGAAATTAATTTTCTTTCATGTTTGTTTAAACATGTAGAATGAGAATGGTGTCTCTTGTAGGCTATCCGTTGAAAGTGAAGAACCAAAGTTATCCCACTTTGTGCCACGGTCTGTATTTCATGGTAAAATGCGAACATAATTCATTTTCATGTTGACAAATTGATACACTCTGTCACTGATGTGATCTTCTTTTGTTATACGAGCCGATAAACTCTCACAACAAAGCAGAAACAACAAAAATACATTGAATTTAAGTAAGGTTCCATGTAGGCCATTCTAGTGAGTACAGTGCGAGAATGCTCCATCACCCGCACCAACGCACTAGTCTATGGCCGCTTTTCGCATTGATCCTACGGGAACAGGGTAGGCCTCCAATGCCGAGGCAAGTCGTGCGGGCTGGATGGCCTGAAACTGAGAAGGCCTAGGTGGCGACCCATGTGTTTGTTTTAACATGGCACTGGGTCTTCCTCGTCTGATACATTTCGTTTTATTGTCACCCTGGTGCAAAATCAGAAACAAAATAAAAATTACAAACAAAATACAAATGTACAAACCACCACCACCACCATCAACAACAACAAAAACAACAACAATGCGGCTACTTTCGATAGGGACCTCAGATGGGAATGGTTTGTTTTCTTCATCTTGATCAGTCCTGCCTAAGACGGCCACCTGTCTTATACGGCCACTTTTCTCCTTTACAATGGGTGACCGTCTTACACAGGTTTGACAGTACTTAAGGGTATCTACTCACCAAATTTCACTGCTACCGCAGTTCCTGTAACCTCAAATTGGTTGATCTATGCATCACTTTGCCGTAAATATCCACACATTTCCCTCACTTAACTCCACATGAATTATTGAGTAGGCTCTATAGGTTTTATTATTATATATACACACATGTCCTGAATCATTGTCTCTGCATGTTGTACATCTATGTGTTGGTCACTGACAGGGACAACAGACTGATGGTTGGTGTGGCAATTCTGACTTGTACTGTGTGCGGGTCGTTTTTTTGTGTTGAGTGTGCTGAGAGCACGGGTACATGTTCCTTGTGAGGTTGTGTCTGTCTCAGAAATGTTGGTGCTAGGACTAGCTTGGTTTGTGTATGTTTCTTGACTGCTGTAGTGAGACTGGGGGTCACGTTGCTTTACTGTGGCACATCCAAGAGAGCAGATTTTTTTCTGTTCACAGACTGTGCACGTTTTTGCATCAGTCTTCACTCTAAGCACACCAAATGTGTTGACTGCTGTCAAAAGAGTCTTATTGTTTGAAGGAACACTGCACTATTTCGACATTTAGCGCCAAGGATTGTTTTATAGCATTTCAAACACATAATTCCACTCAAACACAAAGACGAGATCACTGGCTATTTCCAAACACAAATACGGCTTTTTAAAGGATTTTCTCTGCTTCCTTGTAATGTTCAGTCTTAAGCACACTCTACACAGACTGTTTAAAGGGGAGACATGACTTTCAGGGTTGTGCTCCATTTTAAGGTCTTCGTTTTATACGGCAATAACGTTAGTAAATTCGCAGGCCCAACATAATAATCCGATGTAACTGAACAACCACACCTCGGTAGTACTGAAATTTACACACTTGAAACAGGATTTGTTAATGAACACGCACATACTAATCCCAAAAAAATTCAAAGCACCGTTTCGTCGCATTAAATGATTATTTAACCTCAGTTTGAAATAAGAAAAGCGTGTTACACAGGCAGCAAACAGACACGTGTAGAACACCTGGTATAAAACGTAGAAGACTGGGACTTTCTTTAAGAGGAGGAGAAATGGTGTTGCTAAAGTCTATAAATTAAAACTACTTGGTGGGTCTAACGGCACCCGCAATTGAGGTAGTAAATGAGACAATTTTATCGAGAACGCATCCCAGTTTATAACGGTGCGATGAGGTAAAATGACCCCAATAAAAAAGGTCAACAGGTACCGGGCGGGGCGATTAATCATCTCTGGACAGCGCGAGCTGCGGTGCAACTAAAAGGCTCGTTTTTGGCTGATTTCGTGCGCCGTGAGAATTACCATAAATATCCGTAACTTACTTATACAAGACAATACGATGGCGACGATGGCGAGTACGAATCCTTTGCCCCGGAATTTCCGTAGCCCTTCGCTATCTCACGGTTTTATGGATGGAGTTGATGATGATGATGGGGGAGCAAGTACGGAACTGTCAGAAAATACGGATTTCCGTAAAAATATGGAAGATTGGAAGCACCGATGACCGTATAGCACCTTTCGGTGGTACAAATAAATTTGTATACCATAGAAGCCAGAGAATTAATTATGTAGGTCAGAATTCAAGTCCCAAGTTGAATCTGTAAATTCATTACAAAGAAATGAGCATAATTTGGTCTTTCATTTAGGGGAAAGCAGACACTATAGGTGAAAAATAAAACAAAGAGACAGAAACAACAAAAGGAAAGTAAAGAAGAAAAACCTGCCAGTAGCATCCTCCAACCCTCCACAAGGAGTATGGAATAGCTTTACAGAAAAAGGCATCGATGCATGAACACATTAATCTCACAGCCGTTACTTTTCCATTAAGGTTTCAAGCAGTATTTTTTTTCATTCTTACCGTATTGAAAAGTGAAACAGAAGCATGAAGTACAAATCAAAGAAATAAAAGTTACTTTACATAAAGAATAATACAACGGCTAGATCATTTCGGAAACACATCTAAAGAAAATGAATCAAACATTCCGCCACTGAAATGAAAACCAGTTTATGCGAACGGGGGGTCATATCAACTTTTTTAAAGGCTACATTCAAGTGAACTATCACACATCTTAATGTTAAGTTTGATATTAATCTCTATATTAAAGGAACATACAGACATTATTTAGATAAGACATGTTTTTCCTACATTTGCAACAAGACATGACTTTTAGTTTATAGTTTAATCAGCAGTATCGTAAAGTAAAACCTTTTAATCAAATGCCATAAATCATAAAGGTGATTTTTTTTTCAACCAATACAGCATCGAACAGATACTTTTTCATGCTTGCCATGTGCACCCCCACTCTTTCCCATTAATATTTTTTTTTAGTCAGTGATCTTTAAAGGTTTCTGTGACACCAGCAAATGATCTTCTCTAGCCTTAATTTGTATTATTATCCATTCAGGAAGTAGACAAAGCCTGGGGATACTTTTCCTCCAGACTAAAAGAAAAAGAGGTAGGACCGATTAAATTAGAACAAGATCAATGCGCTGCATCTAAAACAGCACAAGATCAATGCACATCACAAGATCAAAGCACAGCACGTAAAACAGCAAAAGATTTTAAAAGATCAACGCCCAGCACCTAAAACAAGGCAAGATCAAAGCCCAGCACCTAAAACAAGGCAAGGTCAAAGCCCAGCACCTAAAACAAGGCAAGATCAAAGCCCAGCAACACAAGAACCTGAAACAGCACAAGGCCAATGTGCAGTCGGCACCTACTTGAGCATGGATATGTCTGCTACCCTCCATGACCGTCTTGAGGTCTAAAGCGTTTTCTCGATTCTTCATTCCAAGACAGGGTGATGGGGGTTCTCTCCTCCCAAACATTGGAGACGGTGGTTCCGGCAGATCAGTGGCAGATGGACCGGGAAGCTGGGCCTGAATGGGAAAAGACAGCTGCATTAACCATTTCCAGGAAGATGATGGAGTGTCTTTCAGTCACTTGGAGCAAAAAAACGGTCAAATGGCATATCGGTGGATGGTCACTGTAGAGTGTCCTTGAACAAAACACAACAGCCCTAGCTAAAAAACAAGGCACTGCACAGAGACGACTACCAATGGCATGTTTAAAAATTCATCTGTATTGGTGTGACTTTATGGATTTAGTAACTCTGATAAAAGATTCTATATATGTATATTAATTGTGTGTATAAGTATGCATGCATATTTATGTACTGTACATATGCATTATGCCATTGTAAACCAAATTCCCCCTCAGGAATCAAAGAGAGTGTAATTATTTTTTAAAATCTCAATTTCCTATTTCCTTCATGGTGAAACCAGCCATCATAAACATTGCAATTGCTGTTCAGTCATACTTTTCAGAGTCTCTGAACATGTGTTTTAAACAATATAAACAAATAAATTCATTTTTCTTTTCAAGAAATACATGAGAGAAAATAATAAAAGGAACAAAAGATTTAAGAAATGCACCTTGACTAATAAATGGTCAGATAGTGAATTAAGGTAAGAATGATCAAAATAAACCATCTTCATAAATGAAAAGCATGTACACATGAACACACATCCGCGCAAGCACACACACAAACACACGCACACACACACACACATTTAGGCAGCCTTAGGAACTCAAGACAAATTCTGCTGCAGAAGGTAAAAGCATGGAGAGAACTACAGTCCAACCTACCATGACGCCCACCTATATAATACGGCCACCTGTGCAAACGCCCACTTTCCATTTCCCCCCTTGCATTTTTTCTATATATAAATTAACTGTGTAAAACGGTCACCTGGCCAACGCGGCCATGGCCACCTTATTTTCTCAATCCACTGTAAAATTTGCCTTCCTCAAGCAGCCAGGCGTGGTCACTCATTGCCCGATGCTTTGTCATAAATTTTTAATCGGCCCCTCACGTTGTGGACGGCCCGTCATAATTCATTCACCTGTCGTTATTGTTAGCCCCCCCCCCCGGTGAATGTTTACCCAAGTTGACCAATGGGTAGGCCTAACAATAAATTTTCAACTGCTGGTGAGGGAGGCGTGATCTGTCATAACCTATAAGCCCCGCCCACAACTCATGCACAAAATGTGTGTGAGGTGACTGGTCACTGTTTTGTTTACCTAATCTATTTTGGTTTTTTGGGGTTTCTTGGTAAGTGTTTTACAGCGCTGACAACTACATAAGGTCATATGAGCGCGCAGGATACACTTAAACATTTTCAGAAGGTAGTAAATTTTGAATTTTGCCCAGGTGGCGGCCGAAGCCTACTCTTATCGACCACCAAGGGATCTGTAAAGAGCGCAACTTGCACACAGGATCTCCGAGATTTTTCGCCCTTGTCCGAAAAGGGTAAGTTTAGATCTTTCCTATCATAAGATCAGGGGAGTGGCTGAAAGACAACAGTAAAAAGGAGCCAAGTGGAAGCAGTGGAAAGGCTGCAGAAAGAGTCAGGAGCCCAGAGGAGGGGGCATAGGAGGGGACGGGGTGGGGTCAAAAAGTGGAGACGAAAGCAGACAACAGAATATTGCTTGAGAACAGGAAAGGAGGTGAAAGGAAACAATTTTAGAGAAGAAAATCTTTCCGTCGCTACACGGATTCGAACCCAGGACCTTTGAATGAGAATGAGAGGCGAACACCTTAACCTCTAGACCATGTGAGCCCCCTTACAAAATCTGTGACAAAGTAACAATGGACGTTGACGTGAACTTGCTTTACAATGGGACTCGGTCTTCATCGTCTTACTTACATAATATTTTGTTGATTTTACCTTTGCACAAAAATCAGCAACAAAAAGAAAGCTTGCCAAAAAACAAACCCACACAACACAAAAAACCTTTCTTACACCACCCACCCCTCTTTTCCAAAAGAAACCAAAAACCCTTTTGAATTAGCCTTACGGCAGTCTAAAGTCTGAGATCAGCTCCGGTTTGGACCTCAGAAGAAAATAATTTGCTTTCTTCATTTTGGTCAATCCTGCCTAAGAGTACTAAGATGGCCACCTGTGTTATACAGACACTTTTCTCCTTGACAATGGGTGGCCGTTTTACACAGGTTTGACTGTATAGCATTGCAGCAGGTCTTTTCTTCCTTGTTATATATACATGCATGAGTATCATTAGAGAGCAAATGAGACCACACCGACATCTGTGGTGCAGAAGTTAGATGTTTCAAGATTGCATACAGTAGATGGACGTTTGATTGCATTTTGTAGGGGTTTTTAAAAAATAATTTTATAAAAAATCTTCAAAAATGAAATCTTACCAGATTTCTGGATTTCTTTCTCCGAGGGGGCGCCACAGGGGGTTGCAGGGTAGTTGGCGGCGTGCGCTGTTGGGACTTTGTACTCTTCACAATGTCTGGCTCGGAGTCATCAGCTTGGACTTGTGTCTGCTGGAGGATAGTGTCCACTACAGTGTCTGTGGCCAAATGACCGCTACCCAGTTTGCTGCCAGTGATGAGTAGCGTCAGACTTTTATTCTGTTTCTCTTTTTCAGGCTGGAACCTGTAAATATTGTTCAATTGTAATTGAATGAACAAATAATAAAAATATTAATCTGAATAACATTAACTTGTTTATGTAATCTGTTCCAATTTGGTACCCGGTATTGGCACCGATCCTGAAAAAAAAGGGGGGTTTTTCGTTTTGATTTTTTATAGTAGAGGGTTTTACGGCGCTTGCAAACTGCATAAGGTCATATGAGCGCCAAGGGGTGGGTGTCAACAGAGAAGTCTTTACAGGGAATCAGACTTATTCTGCTCAGCTTTCTAGCTTCAACAGCACAAGGTCAGCTTCGACTATCAAGGCACCCCGGAAATAGCAAGTCACAAGAGAGTGACAAACATACAAAAGAAGTAGAGGAAAATGACAATAGTAAGGATTAAGAAAGAAAAAGCAGCAGTTCTCTGTTGTAGATCAGGCACAGTTATGAGCATGACATGAATCAGCCCATTTACAATTCTAATGTGCTTGAACAAGAAATGTCCCCCCTTTGGGAATGGCCTAAAGACACTACAGTCAGTGGCACTGCCCCGGGGGGTAACCAAAAAAAAAGTTAATTCTCAAATTTTTTAATTAAGCAGTCAGCCAGTAAATTAGTGAACATATTTCGTCAGCGGTTTAGATTGCGGTTTACATGCAATCGTATAAAAATCTGCAGTTTTCTTCTTCTTCTTCTCTGCCTTCCCCAGCTAGGTCTAAGGAGTAGTTGACAGGTGTTTTTCCACCTGCAGTACAACCGATTTTTACGTATGTAACTATTTTTCCTACTTCGCAGGGCCTCCTTGCCCTAAGGCAACCACATTCCAATTACAAAACTACTCTATATTTTTTATACAGTGGAACTCGGATTCAACGAGCTCGGATTCAACGAGCTCGGATTCAACGAGCTCGGATTCAACGAGAGAAGATGGATTCCCCTTTTTTTTTCTTCTTTAAAATCAATATAAATAACCCGGATTCAACGAGCACTTAAAACAGCAAGCTTGGATTCAACGACATCGCTTCCAGGGTGAACAGCCCCTGCAGACGTAGCTTCGCTCATTTTTCTCCCACAACGAACTTTTATCTATTCCCTGAAACCATCCATTGCACCTGCATCATAAACCATTATTCACTTAGCTGATTGCATGCAACCAATCAGCGGCCTTCTTTCATACCTACACATGCGTTGTTGGCACGAGTATGTCGGGGTCGGATGGGTGGCCTGCACATGTGTAACTGTGTGTGCATGTCGGGGGAAGGGCACCATCGATCCGGACGTGTAACGTCGCAGATACAAACGCGTCAAAATCTTCAATCTTCTCACCCCGCCCCCCCCCCCCCCCCCCCCCGGCACTGGTCATTATTACAAAGATAAGCTAGTCTTGACGTTCTTGTTCTTGTTCTTGTTTCAGGAAGCAACATCCCTGCACTCCGGACATGTCCATTGATGCTCCGTTGCTCTCTCCAAAATGTTGCTGAGGGTCCTTCTACTGATTGTGCCAGTGCACATCTGGTTGAACGTTCTTCTGTTCTTTCCTGCAAGGATGCCAGATTTTCCGCTTCCTTTTTTTATTCCCAAAAGCATCATCTTCTCCACGGCAGCACTGGCCTCTGCCTCCCTATCTTCCTCCTCAATCAGTTGGCGAGAAAGATATTTCAGGATCTCGACCCTATCTGGTTGAACCATATTGTCAACTAAGGTGGCCTCACCAGCCAATCTGTCGGCTTTTTCATTTCCCCTAACACCTGCATGGCCAGGGCAGAAAATCCATGTGAACGATCGTACAGGCGTTGGTTCAATAGCTTGAATCCATTCCGTTCTCACGAAACCTTTTTCGATCCTTCTGAGGGTACACATGGAATCAGTGATAAGAACAGCATGGGTTGTGTGGGGGCGATCTTGAGTCATCCAATCAAGTGCTTTCGTGATGGCTTCAATTTCCATTCGCATACTTGATGTAGCCCTGCTGCAGGCTCCAGATGCACTGTGTATGATTTTATTGTTGGCGAATGCAACAAATCCCCATCCACTTCTCTGGCTATCTCTTTTCACTGAACCATCTGTATAAATTATAGGATCCCCTGCTTTTGAGTTTGTGTCAACAATCTCGTTGATATCGCTCTCGTTGATGGCAGCCGCAACATTTCTTCTGTCTCTGCCCATGCTTATTTTGACCCTGGTGAGGTCCCTGTATTCTCCGGCCACCTGCTCCCATTCTTCGCCTAGTGGTAGGCTCTCAGGTACACAGATTGTTCTCAGGGAATCCTCTGCTTCCGCCATCCAAGATTTTCCTCTCTTGATTCTGACTCTCCTGTTGTCATGAAGTGCTTTGTGAAGTGGATGATCCTTCTTGCCCCTTACACTGAGATACATCTTTGCCTGAGCTATCTTTTGGCGTACTCTGATGCCACTTAAACCTAGCAAGTAGCGCATGCACAATATTGGAGTGTCCTTGGTGCAGCCCAGCACTGCTCTCATTGCCTCATTCTGCACTCGATCCAGCTTTGCGATCTGTGTGTCGGACAGCGTGAGACAGCCCAATCCGTAATCAATGACAGACAGGACGACCAGCTGCAACATCAGGAAGAGCACTCTTTGCGGAATCAGAGCGGCCGCCATGGTCTTGATTGCACCAACACCTCGTTTGGCCTTTGTTACCACATGATTCACATGCTTGTTGAAGGACAACGACCTGTCGAAGACGATTCCCAGATACTTCAGCTCTGACTGTCTGTCGATAATCCCATAGTTGCAAGTGATTGGTGGAGTTATGTCTTGGACAATCCTGTTGTTGAGGGAACACCAAAGTACCTGCGCCTTTGAAGGATTGATGACTGCTTCATTTTGGTCGCACCATTTTACAACTGAGTGAGTGTCTTGACGTAGATCTTCCTAATGAATTGTGCGCTGGTCTACGGAATCTAAAGTTGCCGTATGCTAGGCTAGGCTCTACACAGCAACACAACTTTTAGGCAAACAATAGAGATTACACAGACGTGCATTAGAACGAATCTGTCTCTTTTTTTTGGCACAGCTCATAATATGCAGGCATTTCAGGCACCACTTGTTACTTCTCTTTATACATTACTTCTTCGGTGCCTGTAATTTCTACACAAAACTTCATGTTTACTATAACAAACACTCGGATTCAACGAGATTTTAAGTCAGGCCCAGCGACCTTGTTGAATCCGAGTTCCACTGTATTGAATAGAGTATTTTCAATTCTGGTAGAATTGGCGTGGCCACTGACAATGTATGAAGTTGCTCTGTCAAGAGTTGAGATGATCGAAAGAAAGTGTAACAGCTACATCAGGAAGTGGCTGGGGCTACCCCGTACCATTAACACGTCATCCCTGTACAGACATAGAGGTGCGCTTTAACTACCTCTCACGTCAATCATGGAGATCTACAAAGCAGGCAAGATTAGAACCGTTTTGATGTTGAGAGAATCAAGGGATAAGGAGATCAGTGGAAAACCTCCAGATGTCAAAACAGCCAGAAAGTTTGATTGATTGATTGGGTAGATGTTTTACGGCACAATTTTGGTCATTTAAGCGCCATCAGGTTTCACCGCTACAAAATCAGACGTGTTTTTAATAAAGAGTCTTTCGGAGCTCGCAACCGCAAACGATCACACTATTTCTATTATGCTAAAAAGACGAACAAACATTTATAAAAAATTTTTTTTGTAAATATGGAAAAGGCTTATTTACATTTGTACATACAATACAAATCTCAGTGTATGTATATATACACCGACAACGACAACTATATATTTTCACATTTTATTAAACAGTCCAATTTCTTTTATAAAACTTAAAATTCTTCTAGGTTCTATGATGTTAAAAAGGGTCTTAATATCTTTACATTAAAAATATTTATCACGGACATAATTAAAGTCGACACATTCCATTAGGATGTGCCGAACTGTGAAATCTGTGTTGCACGCCACGCAAAAAGGAGCTTCCTCTCCTTCGAGCAAATGTTTGTGCGTGACGTGCGTGTGTCCTATTTTTAGTCGGGTAAAAATTACTTTTTCCCTTCGTGGTAGAGAAAATGGTTTCCTGGGCGTAAGTTTCAGTTGAACGTAATGGAGTTTGTTGTGTATTTGTTGATTTCAACTTTGGGACCAGGAGGATGTGATGTGTTCTTTTACTTTCGGTTTCATGTCAGAGAAAGGGATTTTACTATTTTTGTTTTCAGGTAGTTTTAGAGATTCTTTGGCAAATTGGTCAACGGCTTCGTTGCCATCAATGCCTACATGGCTTGGAAGCCAAGCTATTGTAATAGTTTTTCCAGACTGATGTAGAAAATGCAGTTTAATGATAAGTTTCAAAATTCTGTTGTCGGAGGTGTCAGAGCGCTCTAAAGATTTCAGACAAGAGAGAGAGTCTGAAAGGATTAGGAAGGTAGACTTGGTTGTTTTTAGTTTTAAACAAAGAGATTTCTTTTCAATTCTCTCAATGGCCTAGGCTGTCACCAACAACACACAAGGGCAAGAATTTTCTAACATCTTGTCAGTCTAACGTTTCCCTTACTCCTGGCTCTGGTACTTCTACAGCCTAATGTTTTTCTAAAGACAAAGTGGCACTGAGCGACTACTAGGGCTCAATGCTAAGAGGATGTTATTAATGTTAGACAGCTGCACGTGATGAGAAAAGAAAAACTAGGAACCCTGATTTGCATTTCTTTTAAATGCACAGTACTACATCTTACACAGAATCATGTCAATCCTACAGCAGTCTATGTAAAAATCCTTTGAACCTGAGATATAATTATTTGAAAACTGTAAACAAACTCTCCTTCACTCCAACTTTCTGAATATTCAAATAATGTGAAAGTACTGTAAACAGCTTACACAGCTGATAACTTACATTTCTAAAGTTTTGAGTCCCATTTAGTATTTCTGCTCTTTAAAAGCTATGTCTTAACTCACAGGAGACGGTTCACGCAACATTTGCGAGCACCAATATTTCCCCGAGAGGCCATTCACGCACCCCCTGTGAGCACAAGTTTCGCGTTTTCTCCTCGGCAAAGTATGTGCGCGAAGCTGCTTGAACCATCTCTTACCGTGCAGCCGACCTTTGTCTCATTTCGTGCGAAGTTTCACCGGAATTGGCTGGCCACTTTTTGAGTTATCGACCGGGAAGGAAAGTCAGTCACAGTGAGGCCCTACTTTTGTTTCTCTGACTGGTGTCTGTTCTCGCAACACTTTGTCAGTACGATGGCGGCACGTTTAGTTTTAGGTTTTACGGCACTTGCAACACAATAAGGTCGAAGATTAGGTGTTGCAAGAGAGTAACAAACACAAAAAAAGAAGGAAGAGAGATCAGGACGATAGATCTATGATAGGAAAGAAGGAGCAAACCACAGCACAGCACCCGCCAACCACCCACTTGGTAGCACGAAAAGCAAACATTTTCAAATGTTTCCACGACTTTGGCAGTTCAGAAAATTCTGTTTATGACATTTTAGACCATGGGGATCCTGATTTCAATGTAAATGAGCATCAGAGCACTGATTCTGATAGCGAATGTTCTAGATCTAGACTAGGCAAAATTCCGCTTTGTCTGGAGCCATGTTTTTTTTTTTCACACTGAAGTGGATTAGACATATATCGATTACCTGCCTATTCATGAGTTTGGACTTATTATTCATTTTGAAACACAAAACCTAATAAAAGACACACACAAGACTAATTTTGGGGGGTATTGTTGGTTTTTTTTTTACATAAGACGATACGTCAAAATTTTTTAGCGAGCTACAAATTTTAGCACATTTTCAAAAAATCATTTCTAAAAAACTATACAAGATATTGCCTTTCTGTTTTTCGTGTCGTATTGGGCATGTTTAAATCTGTTATGAGTGTAAAAATTAGGGCTGTACCCCGGTAGCAAACACGCTCGCGCTCGCAAGACCCTAGTTCAAGTCACAAGCCTCAAATCACTAGGTCAAATCATCAAATCAAATCACCAGCCTAAGCTTCAAGTACACACACCAAATTGCAATCCGCGAAGCCACTCGTGTCTGACCCCCTCTTCCTTCCCCTCCCTGCTAGCAATCCGCGAAACCCGTAACGTCAGAAAGAGAGGAGGGGGGGGGGGGCAGAGAGACCCCGCGCACAGTGTCACTGCGCCACAAACTAGTCTGTTCGATTATTCGAAGACATACGAGCAGCGGACGGCAGACAAGACTCAAATCACAGCAAAGCAAAGCACTTGGTCCCAAGACCTGCTTTGCGTCTCGTATTGCTTTGTGCTAAGGGCTTGCTCTCCTGTCAATAAATCTGCTTTGGGTCCAACTACCGCCCTGGCAAAACAACACCGCTCGTCAGTACAACACCGCTCGTCGGGCAAACACGGCTCGTGGGGCAAACACCGCTCGTCTGCACCGAGACGCAAGATCTACCGGTAATACACCCCGCTCGCGGCGTGAACTCTGAACTCTGGACGTGGAGGAAGCGAGAGGCAGCGCTGGTTTTGCTGCAAGGCGAAGAGGGCTGTAATAGTCTAGTGCAGACCGTTCGCGACCTCAGTGCTTTAACGGTGAAAATGTGACATCTTCGTAGGCTCACATTTTGTTATGAGCTGTTTTCACTGGTATTAAAAATGGAGATACGACAAGAAAGCACTGGGGTCGCGGTATGCTAAACTATTTAGGACGCAGAATAAAGGTGGGACTTACAAACAATTTTTAACTGACAAAATAAATCAGTATTATTAGCATCCCGTGGCTTGTAATTTAATCACTCGCCTAAACTGCACTTCCACTCCCACCCCGACACTTAGAACAAGTTAATGCATTGGGGAGGGGATGACAATCGTGATTTTGTTTCTGAACAATGTAAACAACTTTTGATTTGACTGCTTCCCTATCAGAAAATCATTGTTAAGGTAAATTATATCACAGTGTTAATTACATTGTAGGCCTATAACTTTTTAAAAAACATCTTGCTGCACTGTAACTGATATTATGTATGTATTGTGCATGTTCTACAATACAAATATTAATTATGATGTCGAATTACGCCCAGAAAATCAATAAAGCAAAACATAATCCTTCCCCCCAAATAATTTTTTTTTTTTAATCAACAAAAAACTGAACCAAAAAAAACACCAAAAAAACAAGACAAATAAAACCCTGTCAAACCAGGAGGCGTAAGGGGAGGGGTGGGTTCTACGGAAAGCGCGGGGTGGCCAACACCTCTCACTTTCCCAGCCATACCACCCCCTCCCCTCCCCAAACAGAGCCATCGCTGGAAGTGTGAGGGTTTTTTAGGGCTTGTCAGCAGAAGTATCGCGCGCTCAGTAAACAAAAGTTTGTGACGTCACGACACAAATCAGTAAGCCCGTCCGCCGTCTACGAGTAGCAACTCCGGTAGGGGGCAAGACTCAAGCCCGCTCGCAAGCCTCTGGCACGAGCCGTCCGTTTGCTCGCAAGCCTTCGATTAATCGAGCAGACTCCAGCCCTAGTAAAAATGGAGGTTGTATGTCTTTGGGAAGGGTGTTGTTTGAAATATTGAAAAGCCCCCAAAAACGCCAGTATTCAGCGTATATAGACCCGAGAAAGCCCCAGTCTCCAGTGAGTTAAATGTACCTGAGTGCAGGAACTTTTTGTTGTAACGTGCAGTTTTCTAGGGACTTAAGTGATCAAACGTTCCTCTATAATGTACAGTGTACATTGTGAGAATAAAGAAAAATGACAAAAAGTTATAGTATTACCATATTTAGAAATCTGAGGTAATTAGCTACAGTAAGAGAGAGAGTACTTTGCAAATACATTTGTCAGTGGATGCTTACATTCCACCAACCCCACCCCCTCAACACACACAAACACACACATACATGCACCCACGCCCATGCTTCAAAATTCTTTTCTTCCCACTACTCCAATCTCCTACCCACCAGTCGGTTCAGCAAAAAAGAAACCCAGTAGTTATGTCCCTGATGCAAGGTCAGCATTTTGATTGATCGACATCATCGGCATGATCTCAATCCCCACCACATTCATTTCCTCATGCGGGTATGTCTGCCACTTGGGATTGAAATGAAAACCCCCCCCCCATCAAAACAGCCCCCCCCCCCCCCAAAAAAAAAAAACGGAGAGATTAAAATGAACTGTTTTTTTCCATCAGATATCAATAGGTGTGCCCCCCACCCCTGGTAGAGAGTGAATAAATGTTACTCCATAATCTCCCGTCACCACCATTTTGTTTTGGCTAATACATACTTCAGCCAAGATGTTAAAAATCTTGGGTTAGAATGGAGTATGTTAAACTGAGGTTTTGCTGTACTTTGTCTTCAAAGTATTTCAGTATTCTGCTTCTTTTGAAGAGTCAAGTATTCTTCTTCCTTAAAAGAGGCAATCTTTTAGTAGATAAACTCTTTCAAAGGGTTTGGCACACAGACAAGAGTCATCAACCCATACCTATCCATATTCTGATCCAAATCACTCAACTTGTCCTCTCTAGATAAGCTGCGTCCACTTTCTTTGCCCACGCTTCCCACACTGGCACGATCAGAGATACTGCTCCCACTTCCTCTGCTGCCACCTCCCACAGCATCCGCTCGCCCATCACCCTGAGAGGAAATCCTCTCCAGGCGCTGAGAGAGGGCCAGGCTAGTGCCAGCCGTGAGCTGAGAGTCGTTCTTGGGCAGGTCGCCCCATGAGCCCGAGCGTTTCTTGGCATGCTGCTGCTGGCGTAGCGGCTGGCCCGGACTGCTAGTGCAGCCATTGTTCTCCATCTTCTCTATGGTGTTCGATTTGGGGGCTGTGAGTGGTCGCCCACTCCCGGACAGAGCAAATACGTCAGGAATGTCCGCAGAGGTGTTCGGTGAGTCATTTTCTAAAGATGAGTCATGAGATGTAGAAAAAAAGGAGCGGTCAGAGCCCAGGGTCTGACGCATCTCTTCCAACTTTCTTCGCCGACCCTCAAGATCAGAGTTAGGTGGTTCTTGTTCCTAGAACATAAAAAGGGAAGAAAAAAGGCCTTTTATTTAAATCATAACTCTTTTCTATTTTAATGATTATGATTCGTGTGCAAACTTTTTTTATTGTGCTGATACAAGTTGGGGATTGCTTACAGCAGGGGAATATGACTTGCAACCGTAAGGTCGAGAGTTCAAATCCTGTACGGGGCCCAACGTTGTGTCCTTGGGAAAGGCACTTTACACTAATTTTCCTCACTTCACCCAGGTGGGAATGGGTACCAATCTATAGACAGCGAAAGATCTTGTCAGTTTGTTAGTGTTTGAGCGCTTAATCAGCAGCTCGCACTGTATGCTTCCCGGGAAGCTGAGAATGTTTCTGAGTGTTCTACGGTCTGCAGGGGTAATAATATAGTATAAAACGGATTGAGCTTGCTGTTGAGTGGGGGTATGCACTATACAAATGCTATTTATTTATCATTATTATTATTATTATTATTACTAGAACACTCAAGACTACACACTGACAAGATTTTTTTTTTTTCCTGCTTTTTCTTCCTGAAAGCACTTTTCAACTCGCATCAGCACAGTAAAAAAATTCCTTCCTAATAAAAAATAATCACCAGAACAGAACTAATAAAAGAGTGAAAATGGGAGAGATACTTGTCATTGTTAGAAACAAGATCGCAGCAGCATCATGTCCGAAAACAAAAATTTGTATTGCAGGTTCTTCTTCTTCTTCTTCTTCTTCTCGATCGCATCACACTTGAAGTCTGGTATCTGTCATAAATTGGGCCGTCCTGCTCAGTTCATCTGGCGGCCCGTATAGCTTCTCTTGTAGCGTCAGTGGGGTTGGCCACGTTTCCTGTCTCAGGGCCCTGTGTGTCTTGCGTATTGCAGGTTAATTTGCTCCACAATTTGAAATACTAAAAATGTCCTAAACATTTCTGACAGAGACTTTTTTCCTTCATTGAATAAAAAAAAATACTTCTTTTTTAGTTTTAGTGAGTTTTACAGCACTTGCAAAACAATTAGGAAATGTAAGTGCCGAAGAATAGATGTTTTACAAGAGGGTAACAAACACAAAAAAGTAGGGGGAGAGATAAGGACGATAGATGTTTGAAAGGAAAGAAGGAGCAAACCACAAGAGAGCACCCGCCAACATAGCAAGTCATTCAGTGCTAGGAAAAAGTAAGACTCATACATAGGAATAACAGAGAAAGAGAAAACAAGTAGAACTACCAGTGGCACCCTCTGACCAAAAACACAGGTGAATTGCATACACTAAGTAAGAACAACGATTGCACACAAAAAAATATATCATTTGAGAAACAAAGCAAAACATCTTTAGCAGTGTTTAAAGATTGCACATATATGGACTGTTGACGGGATTGAGCAAACCATCTAGTGGCGCACAACATTGGTCCCAGTGGCGACGGGATACCAATTAATGTACATGTACTAAAAATGAACAACTTATAACAACTCTTAAAAGTGAAAACACTGAAAAGGAAAAAATTCTTTAATCTTTAATTTTTTAATCTTTTTTTCACTGACAAGGAATTTCTAATGAAAAGTCGTCTAAACAATGATCCACAACACAGTAAATTTGAGTTTTAAGAACTACTTGCAAAACTGAGAAAGGGAAAATCCTTTTTTCATTTAATCAGTGTCCAAAATTTTAGACAAGCCACTAGAAACACAACACAAAGCCCTCACACCTTATTCTGTGCTTCGTCTCTTTTCTGCTGTTGCAGTTCTTGTAGGCGTAGCTCCAACTCTTCATCTTCTCGCTTGCGTCTGAAAAAAAAACAGCAAATAAAAATATGAGGGGGGGGGTTTTCAGAGACTTTAATTTTCACCACTTTCCAGAGCTCAGTGAAAATAAAGGCAATTTTTATGCTTATGAAAGTCTGTTTACTAAACTCAACTGATAAAAGTGCACATTGCACAAGAACAAAATGGTAAGCTAAATGCCTTGGAAAAAAGAAAACGAAGATAAGATACATGTTATTAGAACAAAAAACACAATGTAAATGTGACAAATCTAGTTTTGACAATAAAGTTTCAATAACACTTTTGAACTATAAATACACTACTCAAGATATAAAATCTATTTTCTCTCAGACATGGCTCAAACACAGGTACACTTATGATCTATAGTGCTGACAAAAATTCATGGTGTAACTTATAGTCAAATATTTCCTTAACTATCATACATAGACTCTCCAGCTTTTGCACAATGACCCGTACCAATTTGTCTTAACAGATCAATATTTTTGTCAACACCTAGCCTGTCAGCTGTATTCTAGAAAAATTCCTTAATAAATACTTATAAAAAATCCAAGAGGGTGGTTTTATTCACATTTTAAAAGGTTTGCAGTGGGCAGCTGGGGCAATACTGCTTTTAAAAGAAAGTCCGTCATTTTTTTCTAAGAGTGGCATTATGCTTATTTAATGCATGTTTTGAGAACCTTTAGTGCAAAAATGTGTTCACAACAAAATTCATTTCTTATTACAAATTTTGCAGCTAAAAAGTGTCATTGTTGAGCTGTGACGTAGGCCATATGCATGTGCAAAATGTGTGTTAGAAGCGGGATGTGCTGTGAACAATACCATTTTTTGCCTGACAGAGATGTGTAGTAGGCCTATTTGATATAAATTTATGAAGAAAAGTATTTTATTTTAGCCGCAAGTGTTGAAGAAAAATATTATGTTCAGACAAATTGAAACATTCTGCTGTGCAAAGTATGGTTGACATTGATCCAGCCATTAAAGAGATATTTGAGGTTAAATTGTGCAATGAATTTTTGACGGCACTATAGTCACATCACATACTTTATGTACTTATAAAACTAAGGTACAAGATGTCTGAAAAAAGGACCCACTTAAAGGGTAATAATAACTCAGTCAAGTCTACACTAATTTCAACAAAATTAAAATGAATAAAATTCAACCCTGAGGATGTCACGTTTGTTAATATAACATAATCAATCAAAGCGTTTGAGAAATATATCAAGTTTTTTTAAATTTCAGCCAAAATTGGGTCAAATGCGAATTTTTACCTCTTATAAGCATTCAGCTACAGTGGCATGGTCAGCCCATTCTTGTTTCAGGACAAGGACAGTAAAACCACTACAGTCACCTCAGATGGATATCTAAACATGCCGAGAAAGTTTTGTCGAAGTTTGGGGAGACTGAATTATGCTGTACAGGCCTGGTTCCAGTAAGATGAGACCAAAACCCACATCAAAAGTGGCCCTGATATGGTGCCAGACAAGTTGGAGAACGAAAATTTACAGATGAATGGTTACCATATCCTCCCCAACTTGAACCCCTTCAGATTTTGGCAGACAGAGCAACCCACAAACAATCAAACAGTTGAAACTCAATGTTGAACAGGATGCCCAAAGATTCAACCTAGAAACATGCTACAGGGCTATTCAAAATTGTCAGTCAGTGGCGTATTGAAGCTTGTAGGGAAAGAAATGGTCTGCCCCTGGAGATTTAAATAGCAAACACCGTCCTTGAGTTAATTTAGCAATAAAATTATCAATGTTACATTATTTGTTCTTCAATGCACAAGGATTTGATATAGATCAATACGGTTCACTAATAAAAAGTTGCAAAGTTTTGCATTTCAGCACAATTTGGTTTAAATTTTTTTAGCGCGATAATTTTCTAACAAATGGATACATTTTTTTCATACTGACTAATGTAATGTCCACATGGTTGAATTTTATTTGCCAAGTTTTATTAAAATCAGTTCAAAGATGAACGAGTTATTGCCATTTAAGAGAATCCTCTTTTTTTAAGACACCCGATACATATGAATCACTTGTCACAATATCATACTTTATGTCCTTATAAACCATATGCAGGTCTAAATAAAAGACTTATTCATCCATTTCAGCCTTCATTCTATACCTTTCTTCAGCCCTTCGTTTCAGCTGCAATAACCTCCTCTCTTCCTCCTCAATATCGGAGAGCTGAAATGGTCATACGAAAGGACTTTCAGGAACATTCTTACAACAAACAAGGAGATATTATGATTATATCTTCATAAACAGTCAAATACACAGGTACATTGTTCATCCTTTGGGATCCTTTGCTACCCAGATATGCTCGGTCAGAATGCAAAAAAAGCCTTTCAACAGTATAGCACTCGGTTAAATTCATTCATCAGTGTCATTAAGTTGATTGTACATATATTTCATATTTTTCATCTTGTCATTTTTTATATATATATATATATAAACAAATTATAATACCAGATTAGCTTATGTACTTTATACCATGGTAAATAATGCAGTATGAATTTCCAAATGCTTTTCACCAACAAAGGGAGAACATGTCAATGGATAGAAGAAAACAAAATACAAACCATTTTCCATTTAGAGAGAAGAAAAGATCATCAAAATGCAGGCTGTTTCTACAAACCAAACTAATCCTTTACTCTCAAATTTTAATAGAAATGGCCATAACTATGAAAAAAATATGATCACATAAAAAAAGCACCATTTGCCCTCCTCGTCCAGCTAATCGTACATGCCATGACTTCAGTGTCTTCCTGTCCATTTCTACCATCTTGCAAGCACAGAACCTCCTGTACATCAGCCTCTTAAGTCTAAATGTTTTTGGGGTCTGAACTATTTCTAAAAATAGTAAAAATAGGAACAACATAATACGCATTTTTTCACTTTCTGGAAAGCAATTTTTTATGTCTTGAAAAGTCATTCCCTCAAGAGGTCAAGTACTTTGTTCTGAAAAATTTATTGTCTTTAAATCTTCTTTGTATCGGTTCCTTGAAAAATGCAGCCCATAGATTAAAAGGCAAAAAGTCTTCAAACAAATAGAGCATAGTGTAAGCTGAGTGCAGAGTTGCACTAGCTCCAATTTCTGACTTTCAGGGATTTTTGTAACAGCTGCCAAAGCTATTGAATATGCCAAACATCCCTCCCTCTGAACCTGCAAGGTGTAGGCCTATGTAGGTTGTAACTCTATGTCTGTAATCTTGATATAGAGTAGATATCTAGTTTGACTTGTCTTAGAGTAGAATCTAGAGTTTAGACCAACTGAATGCCGAATGCGGAAAGTGAATCGAACAAAAGTCTCTACAGACCATTGAATCTAGATCCAACGAATCACATAGATCAAGAAGTATGATTGCCCTATCATTTTAAACAGAAATTCAAAGGTTGTTAGGTCTTTTTGTAAGCTGGGGGGGGGGGTATGTTTTGTTTGTTGTTGTTTTTTGGTTGTTGTTTTTTGTTTGACAATGACAATGACAATCTTTATTCATCTCGCAGGGAGAAATATGTCTTGGTCGTTAACAATGGCAGTAGACGTTATAAAAGGTGCTCTCACGCAAACGCACAAGACAGGACACAAGGCCAAGTAAATACATGTCTCACGTGCTGGGACAACCCGTTCTGTAAAACATTCTCTCTCTCTCTCTTTCTCTCTCTCTTGTTGTTGTTTTATGTTTGTTTGTTGCTGTTTTTGTTTTTAGTGAGTTTTTTTAGGGGGGGGAGGGGGTCAGAGTACATGTGTGTTTATAATTTATAAATTGATACAGATCTGGCACTTGACGATGATGATGATGATGATGATGATGATGATGATGATGATGATGATGATGATGATGATGACGATGATGATACCTTTGTAAAGCACAGAGACAAAAAAAATGAAAAAAAACAAGCAAACAAAAATAAAACAAACTAATTTATCTGTAATTCACAAGCTTTCTCAAGTTTTTTTGTGATAATTCCTTTTGGGTCCCAATGATTACTACAATTCAAAGCCTAGCCAAACCCTTTCTTCCCCTGGTCTAACTCAACTCCTAACCCCATCATTAGTCCAGTTGAACTGCACTTCGGGCTGACACCAGAGACTATCAGTCTTTTTCCCCCCAGAATACTTATTATGATAAAATATAGTCTATAATTTATACACTGGAGGTGGTAGACTGTGACCGAGCACATGAAAAAGGTGCCAGTTTAGTTAAGGGTCTACCACGCTACGGCAGTCTACCGTGAGTCCCGCCCAATCGAGCACAGTCTACTGGGATATAACCAAGGAGATTAAAAGCAACGGAGGATGCTCTGTGGGTGGCACCGCACGCCTGATAGAAGCCCTCTCTCGCGGCGGAACTGTGGTCTGCCTGCGCTGCGCTTACGCACTGAAATCTAGATAAGAAAGAAGGTTTTATTTCAAGGTCCTTGAGATTAGCAAGTCAATTAGTAAAAATGCCTTGCACCTGTGTTGTATTTAAGTGTAAGAACCGATATGATGCTGCAGTGAACTGAAGTTTTCACAGTAAAGTTGTTTTCCTTTTAAAAAATTTGAATAAAAGTGTTTTTATGCCCCCAGCAACACAATTTAGATCATTAACATTCATAAGAGGCTGGCTCCGGCGCTACCTGGAGCTGAAAGGGATACAACACCCCAGCAGAAAGACCAAGATACTCAATTTTTTAAAAGTATTCTTATTCTTATATAATTATTATGTGTGTGTATATATATATATTGTGTGTGTGTATGTATATACATATTATACATTTTAATTAAAGATATTGCTTTCCATTGTGTGTGCAAATTAGATGCTACTGTTGTCTAAATGTAGATATCTAGAGGCTCCATTAGAATAGGAAATCAATACTCAACAACAATAATGATGAATATTTTCTATGTTAAAGAAACACCAAACCATATCAGATGAGGGGAAAGGGTAGGGTGGGTGGATAAGAGTTTGAGTCTTGTTATATAGAACTATACTCGGTTTAATTCTATTGTTGTAGTCTTCACCTAAGATCCCACAATCAATAATCCCGGTTCACTTAAGATTCTGCTGTTAAAAAATAAACCAAACGAAGCAACAATAAATTTTACTCACAAGAGTCATCAGTAATAAATTATCCCCCTCTGGAGTGTAATAACGGGACTAAAAACGCTGCTCTCCATATCATACTTTACTGAACAAAAAAAAAAAAACCTTCAAAGGTCATCCACGCTCATGCATGCGATCACACTGTTATCTCTTTTTTTTAATATTTGAAATCATTGTGCGCTCCACTTTGTGAAAACCAGGACACAAAATTATTGTAATAAATAATATTATTTTTTATAAACCAAGACATACAGTTAGCAATCAGATAAAGCTGGCATCGACCCTCTGTTGTGTTCGCTATTCCTTACACATAAAGTTAGTTATGGCGCACGCCTAGAATCATGCAATCATATCTTAAATTCAGTTTAAAAGTATATTTTTATCCTTTTCTTATAATTAAATATTTTAGCATCTTGAAAGGGTAGGTATGTTTGATAATTTTATGTTACTTGGACAAGTTTTTTTCTTATTTTGCACATCTTTTTGATTTCTAAACTAGATTATAACATAAAACTCTTAAAGAATTGAACAGTCCGTATCATACACAAAATTTATTATTTTTTTCTCCCAGTCATTATCCGTCAGCCCGTCAGTTGATCACAATCTCTCTCTCTCTCTCTCTCTCTCTCTCTCTCTCTCTCTCTCTCTCATTTAATTTGTACCCATTCTCCTTCGTCCCTTCCCAAGGCCCACCCCTCTTCTTTCATCCCAGCCCCATCCCCTCTTCCTTGCATGCATCCCCCCCCCCCACCCCCACAACGTGGCCCAGCCCGATAAGATTCTATAAAAAGAAACGCCACTGTTCGTGATTTAGCCCACAGTCGGCGGCCATATTTGATCCCCATCGCGGCGTACTGCTCGTGGCGCCGCGAAAAGAGAGAGGAGGCTCCATTAGTTCCAAACTCCTTGGATATAACAAGATTATGATTGACAAATAGGTTGTAACAGCAAATGACCAGACGGGAGTATTTTCAAAAGGTCGGGGTTGGGCGGCAGAATCCGATGACAGACTGGGAAAAAGAAACTAACTCTTCAATTCTCCAGATTGCTATAATCGCAAAATTGATAGCCTAAATAAGGGGTTTTGTTTGTTGGGGGCTTGCTTTCTTTTCTTTTCGGTTGGGGGGGAGGGGTGAAGCTTATTTAGGCTATATATATGTGGACCTAGCCCAAATAAGCACACTTATTTCACTTGAATAGTCATCCTGTTGACCTCAAAATTATTAAGGTTTCACTTTGTGCTAACTGATATTTTTGCGACTGAAAGTCAATAGTTCAAAGTGATTAACATCAGAACCGGGGGAACAAAAACGGTAAGTACAAAATAGCACAATGCTTGCGATAGAGCTACAACACTTTCTCTTATAATTCAAGTTCTTTCAGCACAATAACATCAAACATATTCAAAACCAACATCTCTTTTAAACAGTATAAAATGGGTGAAGGAAAGGGTTCAATGTAAATCAATCTTTTTCAAACCACATAAAATCAGTGAAGCGAATAATTTTAAGCAAACCAACTTCCCTTTCAAATCACATAAAATAGGCGATGAAAAGTATTTAATATAAACTAACATTAGGGGGTTTTATCGGAAAAAATTAAAAACGATTAATTTGACTAAAATATATGTCACTAGATAGAACTAAAGGAGCTGAGAAAAACTAAACAAAAACTGCATGAAGACTGGATAAACGGTTCAAAAGTTATGCAAGTTTTTTGTTGCGAATTAGAGAATTTTTCGGGGATAATTAATTACTTACGTTGACAAGAGGATGGCACCAAAAGGTGCGAAATGAGGCAGGAGAAAGACAACTTAGCAACAGTTTTCCTAAGTTCAAAGAAAATGTTGCCTGTAAAACATATGATAATCATACATTTCCAGAAAGGTTATGCAATTGCCTCCATGATAAACAATGCATTGCGTAATATGCAAAGTCATGTGACCAAATATAGCCGCCAATATGGCCACCATTGACGAAACGCGCAACTGATTTTGACTTAAAAGTGACATAACATTAAAGCTTTAAGTCAAAAGTGTACAAAAGTATATATTTTCTTAATCAGCACGACAAGGCGTATCTAATGAACTGTAAAAAAAGGAACAATAAATCCATTTTATTTTTTTAAAATCATATTTCACCCCGAAAAAATGAATGTAGTCGGGCACGGAAAACACGACACTGAAAACTGAAAATCATGAATAGCTCGAACAAATTGCCATTCCCTTACTGATATCTCTTCAATTTTTCATCACCTTTAGCCCTTAACCCGAATTATGGATGTGTCGAAGACGTTTGTCATCCCCAGATGTATTTAAATTATTCATGTCTGACTTTAGTAATTTTGAATCTAATTCCCAAATGCCAACAATCTTGAGCAAAAGTATACATTCTTTACATCGGCAAAAAGTGATGCATCCAATGAAAGAGCATACAACCAAAGAACAGATGGATACAGAGAAAGAGAACCAGCGTCTGTGGTGTAGCGGTAAAGAGCTTCACTTTTATAAGCAGAAGATCTAGTGTTGATTCCCAGGAGGGGAGAAAATTGTTATCTATACTCTTCAAAAAAAGAAAAGCATAACCAAGTGCATGTGTTTTCGTGATAATAAAATATGTAAAGATGAGGTTTTGTGCATGCTAGTTTTTTTCACACATATCTTGAACTTTTCACAGCAAAATTCATTGTTTACTCACAGTCACAGGTAGGCACAGCCTTATACTGTTGAATTGTGTGATAATTGAGTGTTAAAAAGCTCACAACTTGTCTAATTTTGTGAGTAGTGGAGCGAAATTTGGCGTATGAGCTCATTCACTGAGTGGCTTTATAAAGGCCGAAAAAATGGTCTGTCAGTTCAGCGATACGCCATGCCACGACTAACGATAGAAGAGCGAAACCAGGCTATTGGACGCTTGCAAGCCGGAGAAAGTCAAACTGATGTTGCAACACATTTCAACGTGTCAAAGTCTACCATCAGCCGACTTTTAGCAAGGTTTCAACAGTCAAACTCTACTGCCGATTAACCGAGAAGTGGACGGCCAAGGGCAACAACTCGAGCCCAGGATTGCTTTATTCAGCTTCATCACCTGCAGGATAGTTTTGTGCCTGCCTTTTCAACCGTCCAAGCGCTTCGGAATGTCATCAGAATTTCCGACCAGACAGTACGTAACCGACTCCGCGAAAGAGGGATCCGCGCATATCGACCTTTAAGGACATTGTTGACGGACCGGCATCGCAAACAGCGACGACAATGGGTCACTCAGCACGTCAACTGGAAGCTACAGAACTGGCGGCACGTATGGTTCAGTGATGAATCCAGTTTTCTCATCTCTCGACACGACAGACGACGTCGAGTTTTCCGACATCGAAATGAGAGGTTCGCAACTGGAGGCATTTCCCCGGCCTTATCGCATGATGGTGGCTGTGCGATGGTGTGGGGAGCAATCAGCCACACTGGCAGGAGCAACCTGGTGAGAGTACAAGGTAATCTGGCAGCCCAGGCCTACATCAACAACGTTCTCCTACCACATGCCCTTCCATTGCTTCAACAACCAGGGGCAATCTTCCAGTAGGACAAAGCCAGACCGCATACTGCCAGAGTAACTAGAGACTTTCTGGCTAGAAACAATGTCCAGACACTCCCATGGCCTTCAAATTCACCTAATATGAACGCTATAGAACACATTAAGGATGCTTTGGACAGACGTCTCTGGAACAGAGTTGTCGGCCCCTGCCACTCCTGATGAACTGTTTGCCACCTTGGCCTTGGATGAAGAGTGGAGGGCAATAAAACTCCCCAACATTTGTCGTCTCATCGCCTCCATGCCCAGAAGATGTCAAGCGGTACTCCAATCAGCAGGAGGCCACACCCAGTATGAAAGGCCGCCCTTGGACGGACAGATTGGAGCATCCAATTGATTGTTCAAAATCAATTCAATTTTGTTGATAATCAATAAACAGCAATGACTAAAATTTCAAAACGTATTTTCTTTCCTTCATTTATATCAACAGTTATTCAGTGCTGTACGATTATACACGGTGGCCAATTTGGTTATGCGTTTTTTTGTGTGTGATGTAGTATCTCTCTCAGCCCAGGTTGGCCCAAACAGAAAGGAAGAGGGTGTAAAACCACCTACATTTAATTAACTAAAAAAAACACACACACGCAGAAGCAGGGCAGGAAAGGCAGAATAATAACAATAATAAATCAACAACACAGAGATGTTTTCAACAGCTGGAACAGTAGGAGAAACATTGAACAAAACAATCTATACAAGCATACATAACAATTAAGAGAAAGATGTTTGCTTCTCGCCTCGACACCATAAGTATAAAAGGTAACAGATGCTGCTAAAGGTAGGCAAAGTAAATGTTAATAAGTAAACTCCCTACGATACCATGCCATATTACCAATTACCAGACCAGCAATATTCTCAGTCAACAACAAGATTCCGTTTTTTTCATTTCACAATTGAAGTTTAAAGTAACAAGGGCTTCTGAGCCACAGTACTTGGCAGGAGCAACAATAATAATAATATCCTTCTTCTGAGGAGCTCAATACCAATTATTGGACTTGTCATCAAGATTTTTCAATTTATTTTTAACTCTGCACCAAATGACTACTGCGTAATCTAGCATCTGCGTTTGTTGCCATTTTTTTGGTCAAAAGTTGCCACAAAAAGTGGCAAAAGTTGCCAAAAAAGTTGCCATTAATTTTCAAGCTTTCAACCCTCTGTAATGACGTAATATAGCAATATGTTGATAGAGGTAACAATCTATAGTACCAGGATTTCTTGTGCTCTGTTTTGAGCATCCAGAACATCATTTGTAGTCACCAAGAGGGTTAAAACGTTGAAAATAAAGGTTTCACAATAGAATGAAATCAAAATTAGAACAGCACGTATAAATAACCACAAAAATTAACTAATTAGGGCGCGTGTCCACCTGTCTGAAAATTGGCTGTTTTAACCCTAAACGTGTGTAATTCAAGAAAAAGCAGGCTTGCAGGATACCACATGTAAATTATATTATGGAATCACACACAATTGGGGTGTGCCAGTGTCAGTATTCGGTTTGGGAGAGACACACTCTAACATAACACATTTATATTTCTAAAAGGGAGGGTCACCAGAACAATTTTTAGAAAAATTAACTCACCAAAAAATTAAAACACAACAAACAGGGGAAAATAAAAGACAGACAGCAATAAAAACAGTATGCAATGTAATGTACTTATATTCTCCGCATAAAAATAGTTACAGGTGGACATCTTAAAACTTATCAAAATACATGTCTAATACGTTACGAAGTAGCTTTGATGTTTTGTCTTTTTTGAAAATTTACGCAAAAATCGCGGACCAAAAAATGCCAAAAATCGCGGCCCCGATTCCACGGTCACAACAAACGCAGATGCATTACGCACACAGAGTCTGGGACAACGCATTTTGACCTGACCCCCCCCCCCCCCCCCCACCGCCCCTCGATCAAGATTTTCTAGTACTTGAGCTGCGCTTTCTTCAATCAACCTTTTCCTTCTTGGATTGATACAATTTCACTCTTTTTATAACAGTGGAGGAAGACCAAATCCCACCACATTTTTCAATATCCTTTGACTTTGAAAGTTTCATTTTACTTTCAACTTTCTTATATTCAGTATTCAAATATTTTTAAAAGTATCTTTGGCCGTTAATAATAATATTGGTCACCTTTGTACTACCAGAACTAGTAATACCTTTGATGGCAGTTGTTTGTTTACATCAGTTACATTAAAAATCCAGAGTTACTTGCCCCTGACTTCTGGCTCTGCGGGTGAATTACTTTTTTACCTTACGAAGTGAACTAGGGTAGTGTAGTAAAGTTCTATTTTCTTCGACAAAACTTTATTCATTTTTAACAAAAATGACATTTCTAGAGAGCTAAATGATATATCTATCAATATAACTTGCCCGGGAGTGTTTTCTATAGTTTTAGAATTTAGAAGATAAAATATATATTTTACCATGACTTTTTACACAAGCATTGTAAAAACCCTTCAGCGTCCAATTCTACTACAGAATCACGTGATTTCAACGGCCAACTTCAACGGTTAGCGATGGAAAATTCAGCTCGAATAAACCGCCCGAAATGCGTTGCGCTTTAAAATTGTCAAAATTTGCGTTCCACGCATTGTGGCAGAATGCGTAACGACCCTTGTAGTTTTAACTCAAAAATCTGTAATGTTACGCATTTCTCCCCCCATTGAAACTAAATGGAAACAAAAAGCACATATAGACCTCTCATTTCATGTTGGTTTTATAATGCTAGGCTAAGAACTAATAAAGTTATGAGCCGAGAAAGAGGAAAAACCGGGATTTTAGCGGAGATCCCCACCCGCCGGGCGAGCGTGAAACCCCCTACTAACATCTCTTTTAAACAACATAAAGGGACTCTCGTGGTCTGGGGTACGGTGTTTGCCTCTCATTCAACAGATCCCGGATTCGAAACCTGACAGCAACTGAAAACTTTCTACTCTAAAACATGTTCTTTCATTTTTCCTGCTCTCTAATCATATTCTGTCGTCTGCTTTCATCTTCACTTTCTGCCCCCCCCCCCCCCCCTTCCTCTTTGCCCCCTTCTCTGGGCTTCCGACTCTTTCTGCTGCTTTTTTACTGCTACTCCTCGGCTCCTTATTACTGCTGTCTTTCAGCTACACCCCCCCCCCCCTGATCTTGGGGTAGGTATGGGACACCAACTAGCATTCTCGGATACGTGCGAAAAAAACCTCGGAGGTTTTGTGTGCAAGTTGCGCACGTTAAAGATCCCTTAGTGGTCAAAAGACAATATGAGTAAGCTTCTGCCTCCACCTGGACAAAATTCAAAAAATTAAGTCCTACCAAACTGAAAATGTTTAATGTGTCCTGCGCACTCATATTATGACCTTATGCAGTTGCGAGCGCCGTAAAACACTTACCAAAAAAAAAAAAATAATAAAATAAAATAAGACAGGGAAAATATGTAATATAAACCAACATCCTTTCAAACCATATTGCATGCAATAAGAGAATGAAAGCGCCAGTACAGTTTTACTTACTGTGACACCAGCTGAGCTACTCCCTAGACGACGATGTCTGGAAGGAAAATAAATGAAATCATCACTTTAAAAAAATTGTAGTAGAGTTTTACAGCACTTACAACATAAATAGGTCATATCTTGTAGTAAATGCCGAAGATTAGGGGTATTACTAGAGAGCAGTATACAGAAAGAAAAGAAAGAAGAGAGATGTATAAGGAAGACTGATATTTATTTGACAGGAAAGAATAAGCAAACCACACCAGAGCACTCGCCAACCAGCCACATCAATAAGTGAGACGACTCTAAAATGTGTTTTAAAAAATGTAAATCCTTCCTTTAACAGTCAAACTGTTGAACGATTTCAACCGAACTCCTCAACAATGTCGCTTGGACGTGAGCCAGTTGTTTGTTGTTGTTTTTTTGTTTTTTTGCAACTCCTATACCACGTGCTGTTCAAGAGTCCATTCCTTCCATTTCAAGAGCTAGCAAAATCGGGTTGTTCATTGGATCATGAATTCGGAATGAATTGCCAGAACTGCCAAAAGATGCTTCTAAGAGAGGCAAACAAGTTGACAATCGTTAAAAGGTTGTTGTTTGTTGTTGTTTTGTTTTTTTATCCATTTAAAATTTTTGTTGGTTTGGTCGGTATCCATAAATCGGAAGAGGTGTAACTCCATGTGTATGTGAGTGTGCGTGAGAGAAAAAGAGAGAAAAGGGGGGGGGGGGGGGGGTGCACAAGCGTGTCTGTGTAACAGGGATAGTATGCAAAGTGAGAGGAAGTGTGCGTGCGTGTGTGTGTCAGTGTGTGTGTGTGTGTGTGTGTGTACATGTGTGTGTACGTGCACATGTGTGTGTACATGTTTGCGTGTGTATGTGTGTGCATGTATGCACGCGCGCGCATACGGGCGGGAAAGGGGGAAGAGGGTGACAGGAAGAGACGGAGAGTGAGAGAGACTATAAAAAAAGATTTACCTATTAATACAATACGCTGTGATGAATATTATTCGTTCATGTAATATTTGCTGTAAAGAGGGGGGGGGGGGGGTTACATAAATGTCCCCTAATATCAAGGGCATATTAGGACTGGTGCCCACTTTTTGGCGGTTACAACTGGGGCATTATGTAAAGGGCGGTCACGATTCTGGAATTAGTAGGACAAAACATTAATGGCTGCACTAGCAGAGACAAACAAAACAAAAAATCAACGGACCTGAGGGATAAGTGCACATTGCAGTGCACCGCTAACCGAATATTTATTTGAATCCATTTTCCTATACTCAGGCCGTAAGTGTACCGAAAAAAGTGCACATAGAGTACAAATCGTCCAAAGCTTACATATAAATCAGTAACCCTACCACAGCACAGAGTAGCACAGAGTAGCACATCGTTACACAATTCTGTACCCAGGGGTGATTTATGTACCCATAATGTAATAAACACAATTAAGGTCATTTAAGAAAATATGGGCTTCGACCCCGCCTGTCAGTGACAACCCAGGCTGGGAGAAATACTTCGTCCCAGCAGAGAGGCCCAGACACAGCTGTATTTGATTAAAATTATCCCCTCCCGGGAATCTAATAGGTATACACGTCTTTTGCTGCAATGGCGAGGCCCATACCCGCTGCACCACAGACACCGATTAGGGGTTTACAAACAGCCCAAAATCTTTAATAGAATCTAAATCCTTGCCTGATCAACACAAAGCTGAATTGTGCACAGTCACATGACTCTCCTGTGACACCCCCCACCTATAGTTTGAGCAAAAAGAACACGTCAACAAGTAACGACCAAAGTGCTTTAACACTATGCACTGCATTTTTTGCAACTTCCCTTTAGCACGAAATAGTGTTTAAAGTTTTGTTTGATCCAGTCAAGTTCGTGGTATCAGGATTTCAATGTTGACGGGCGTCTTGTGTGTGTGAGTACACGAAGAGAAATGAAAGAGCCAACAGATTCAGTTTTATCAGAGAAGGTAACCAAATTAAAACAGTGTAACTTGTGAGCTGGCAAATTGAAGACGATTTTTTTCCTAAAAAGAAGACGTGCCTCGTGTGCCAGTTTCCATTCGCGTGTACGCATGATAACAGAAGTACACATTGCTGGGGGCATTGAGTGTTATTATTCTTTCTTTTTTTTAATGTAGGCGTTTTTCACGCCCCCATTGAAATCTACACAACTTGGATCATTAAGGAAGCGAGCCGCTTCGATCCTGTCTGTCTGGGCCAACCCGGCTGAGAGGGATACAATGTACTATTTCTCTGAGGATGAGTCAAGGAGTTTAGAACTAATGGAGCCTCCTCTCTCTCTTCGCGGCGCCACGAGCAGTACGCCGCGGTGGGGATCAAATATGGCCGCCGAGT